ATTTTAATATAAGCGCAATTGGTATATTGACCGTAAAATATAAGAAGCGCAATTGGTACACTGACCCAAAAATATATGCAGCGCAATTGGTACACTGACCCAAAAATATATGCAGCGYAATTGKTATAKTGACCCTTAAATACAAATTTTGTTTTAGGCGCAATTGGTCCATAGCCGAAAAGGGAGATGAAAATACCTTATTGTAGCTATTATGTTCAACGATTATCACCGATATACCTGTCGTTGAACAATATTGGATTTATTAGTTATAGCTTCTGGACAACTGTTAAGTATTATTATGACCAGTGCCGCAAACTCCTTCAGTGTGACAATCTCCGCGAACCCTGCCAAATGTGCATTATAAAATAAATTTAGGGGCGCGACTTAAGTTTACGGCCTTTACTGAATTTATTTAAAAATTATTATTTTTACCACAGGGCATATAAATCCTAATTGTTGTGGTAGGTAAACATATTTACACAGTACAAACACCAYCCCAAAACCATCCAACATTGGGAGACTATATCTCGTCAATAGATTAATTAAAAATGAAAATTTAAACGTGAAAATTCATTAAAAAATAGCCTTATTATTTTATGATATTTTTAATATAGGTTGCCATTTAAAAATCAAAAGTTGATAGTAGTTTACCAAATAAATATAAGGGCGAAAAATATTAAATATTTATAGTTCTAGAACAGCATAGATCTAAAATTTTGAAAAAAAAAAAAAAAGTAAATAGTTTTTATAAATCACGGGTGTTTTACGCCTCATGAATCACCCCTGTATTTTTGATTTTATGATTTAATAATACTTATATTATTAATTGAAAGTATAATAATGTATTTTTATAAATTAGGGGTTGTTGCGTTATGGTTTATGTTTTAACGGCGTTTTGTATTATTCTATATGGTTTAAAATTTGGTCAAGTGAAAAGTCTTTGTTGGCTTACCTCAATAACAATTGGAATTCTTCAAGGAGTTATAGTGTCTTCCCCGTTTAAGATCATATTTATTAGCGCAGTCATGGCGAAATATAATTCGAGAACAGTGGTATACATTTAATGCCGATTTAACTGATGTTTTACTTGCGAAATTTTTTGTAGGATCCAATTGTGACCTTTATATATAATTTGACGTTACACCGGTACAGGAAAAAAACTTGTACCCTTTTACAAGACGTTGAGTATGTAAGGGCGATTAGAAATTACCGAAGACGTAGGTACATATATGAACCATTGACCAAAAATTCCGTGAAGGTAAATCTCCTTGTATGTAACAACCTAAGTTGTACCTAGATGTCACTAACCAGTATTTTTATCTCTCAAAGGTTTTAAAAGAACGAAGAAACCTAATGACTGACCGTACAAATACAATAATGGATGTGGTCGTTTGTATTGTTTTAATATTAACGTCTCTGAGTTTCCTTCACAATCTGAAGGTATTGAGTACTAAAAACAATACATATCGAGCTAACCAGATGGTATCCGCGTACTTGGAACGAGTGCCTACATCAGACAATCTACAAATTAATTTGGACGAGTAAAATTTTGCTATCTTTTTTATTTTTCAAGTTAAATTTGTTTTGTTCGATTTGCAGTTTGAAAACTTTCCTATCGCCCAACTTACTAAAAAAGTTACATTCGTTGGAACTATACAACGGTATTCCAATCGACAATGACACGTTGAATAAGATAAAATGTGTGTAAACGATGTTATAAGAATGATGTAGTACAGTTATAGTTGATTTAATAATGATTTTGATTTTTGCCTACTTGTAGACGACAAAAGAGGTTGGTTTGGTTTGTACAACAGCAGGCTGATTGGTGGGGGAGTCAGGTTCAGACAAGAACGGATAAATTCGTACAGCGAGAATGACCACGGGAATCATTGCACCGGTTGGACAGATCACGATGGTACAAGCGATAAATCTGCACCAAACCATCCAAGGGCGTACTCAAAACCAACAAACTTTGTCAATTTGCTGTTTAAAGGTAAGTATCCTTTTAAGAATGCAATTAAATTACCTATTAATACAACGATGACATTTCACTACTTATTTTTATCACAGAACACACTTTTATATTATATTTTTTATGATAAAATAATTCTTTTAATTATTATGTATATGTTTTTGATAAACAGTTCCAYAGTACATCAATTTTAATATTAAATAACTAATTACACGTGCGTGAAGTTGGCATCCCGAMTTTATTGTRTTGTCTTTAAACTAATACCATTTTTTTGCAAATTATTTGCAACACTGAAAAAAAACTGCAACAAGGTTTTACAACCCCCACAACAAAACATGGTTTGGGGTGCCAATGTTAAATTGGCACCCCAACTTTGTCATATTACCTTCAAACTAACATCATTTTTTTTGCAAATTAATGGCAACAATTTGTAATTCCGAAAAAAAAATATTTGCAACACACTTTTTACGCCCGTAGAAATAAAATTCACTCGGGGTGCCCAGTTCACGTTGCACCCAGACTATGTCGTATTACTTTCAAACTAATATCACTTTTTTGCAAATTAATGGCAACAATTTGTAATACCGAAAAAAAATATTGCAACACACTTTTTACGCCCGTAGAAATAAAATTCACTCGGTGTGCCAAAATCACATTGCACCCAGACTCTGTCATATTACCTTCAAACTTTTATCATTTTTTTTTGCAAATGAATTGCAACAATTTGCAACAACAAAAAACAAATACGTTTTTTACTAATCTGCAAACAATTTCAGAACAATTTTTATCAAGAAAAAATTCAAATTTTATGTTTTCAATTAGAGGTGGTGTATTTATTGAATAGTTCTTTCGTTAACGATCTATAAAATATGTAGAAATGTAAT